AATTCATGCTAAGCTTAAAATCTTATTTTCACTTTGGCATTGACTTGGTTGTACTGGTTTTATTCAATTTCAATCTGGCTGATACTTTTCTAGTTATTAATAAATAAATAGAATTAATAAAAATAAAAATAATAAAAAATAATGAAAATAAAATAAAATTTAAACTGTCCCGAATTAAGAGATTCAAGGATCTGCGTCAAAATCTAATTCCGGTAACAATATTCAATTCAGCAAGTTCAGCATCAAAAGTACTATTATTAGAATTTTCTTCTGGATTTAATAAATTGAAATATCAAAATAATTAATTTTTACTTTAACAAAGAAAGAAGGCATTGGAAGAATTGGTATTTATAGAACATACCTTGAGCTACTTCTAAATCCATACTCAAAATTTTACACTTTGTATAATCATTAAAAAAAATATTTTTACATTACACCATTTCCGTTTTTTTTTTTCATGGTAAAATTTATTGCTTCCGGAAATTTTCCGGTAAATTTCAATTGGCATTTTGCGCCCTGAACAGTTCACTCTCTCTATTTCCCGCCTTTGTTCGTTTATAAAGAGAGAAACTAATGGACAAAGGGGATGTTCATTCATTATGGAGAGATTTTACTTAGTGTTCGTTATAGTGAGAGTGAACTGTATGTGGTCGTGCTTATCGCCACAAACGCTTTGTAGAGAAAAATAATAGATGTAGTTATTGCTTGGAATTTTATAAAAAAGGAAGACAATTCTGTTAATAATTTATGACTTGATGAAATTAGTGATAAAGGTGATGAATATGAAACAGTAGAAGATGAAAAAGATATCATTAGATTTCAGAAACAATAAATAATTGATAAGTTTTATATTTAAATAAAAATAGAAAAATAAAATGACAAATGTATAATGCCAATATGTGCTCATTAGAACTTTGAGATATATATATTGTATTTAAATTAGTTTCGCCCAAACTCCAAAACAAATTTTTTTTTTTAATAATAAATATCTATTATTGTCAAATTTTTAAAAAAATATTAGCTTTATTTATGCAATAAGAATTCATTAAATATTAATATAAATAATTGATTAGTTGATTAATGATAAAAATAAATAATTAATTAAAATAACTAATAAAGAGCTATAGTTTGCTAAGATCACCGACGACTTTTTTCATGAATTTAAAGTCAATATTGTTTGATTTTTTCTATTGAAAAAAAAATGTGTGTTAATAAATTAATTGAAAATAAAAAAGGTTACAATATATATATATATATACTTTTTTGTTATTTATATCTATTGTTAGATCATTACTATCATCTACATGCTTTCTTTTTTTAGTAGAAGAAAAGGATGCAGTAGTATCAATATTATAAGAAGTGTTTGTGGAAGTGGTTCCAGCAGCATCAGCTTTCTTGTTAATTTTTCGTTTTTCTTTTCTTCCTTTTCTAGCAATAGTAGTGGGAGAGGCTGCAATAGTACCAATATTAGAAGTACTGTTGGAAGTGATTGATAGATCACTACCCTTATTATTATTCATTTTTTGTTTTCCTTTTCTAGTAGCAACGGTAGTATCAAATTCAGAAGAAATAGTGGTAGAAGTGCTAGAAGTGGTTGTCATATCATCATCATAATTATCATCATCAACATCATTCATTTTTCGCTTTCTTTTTCTAGAAGCAGTAGTAGAAGAGGAGGCAGCAGTAGTATTAATATTAGAGTTAATAATAGTGTTGAAAGTAGTTGAGACATCAGATGATTTTAGTTTAGGTCTCCCTCTTCCTCTCGTTACTTGATTCTTATTGTTGCAGGTTTTGGTATCGGAATTGGTATGAGCTTTGTTATTGGATTTTGATTTTTTAGGTTGAAGTTTGATCTATGCAAAAAAATTTATGAATGAATGATCTTATAAGATATTTTCAAATGATAAATCATCATTAAATTATTGAGAATAAACAAACCTTTTTATTTTCACTTTTTATTTTCACACTTTCATTTTTGTTTTTATTATTGTCGCTAGTAGTATTTCCATTGCCATTGTCATCACTATTACTATCGCTATCATTATCATTACCATCCTCATCAATTTGTTTTCTTTTTAAGTTATCTTTCTTTTCTTTGACAAATAGTTTTGAAGGCTCCATATAAACAACATTAGGGTGTGGTAAGGGAGTAGGTGGTTCTAAATCTTCATACGAAGCCTTCCATAAATCATAACTTGACGTGCCAATGCTACTGTTTTCCCAAAGAAACAAAAAAACTTTTTTAAAATCTTATTACAATTAAAAATTAAATCAAAACAAATAAATATAATAATGATTGATTGATTAATTAATTTTTACCCTTCTAATTCAATTGTACTTGGCAATAACGGGTCCTGGTCAAACTTTTTATAATATGTATCTCTTGCACTTTTATAAACTTTTAAGATATGTCTCATTTTTAGGTGCCTTCTGAGATACATAAAATGTTGACAACCCCTTCCAGATGCATAACATTGTAAACATAAATCAAAATATGTTTCATCTTCCGTCTGGCAAGAATAACAATGGTAATGTCGATTCCAAATATTACAGTGACAATAATCACAAACAAGTCCACTTTCGTGGTTATTAGTTAACTATATTTAGCATAAAATAACTTTTAATTTGATATGATAAAGAAAATATGTTTATAATTATTTTCAAAATTACCTTCATGAGTTTTTTACGATCATCCCAAGCTTCTGCATTGACCCATTCTTCTTCAATGAGTTTTTTAAATGACAATATTAAAGTCTTATATTCAGCTTTTATGTCACGACCAGGTTGAGAACAGATAGTATCAATATACTTTTTAAGTGTGCCAGAATCCGATCCTTCAAATTTCATTTTCTTGAAATCCTAAAACACAAACTTAATTATTATAAATTAAAAGAAATAAGAAAAATATTTGAGGAAGAAGATCAAAAACCTTTCAACCCTTCAACAATTACAGCAACTGCTCATTCAAATGCAGTTTATACAAGTAGATTATTGAATTTTACAAATCTTTCTCAACCTGTAAATTCCAATAAAGTTACAATCATTAGTAACAATAGTGGTAATTATCTAATTTATTGTTACACATTTAATCTTAATTATTTATTATTAATAATATATTAAATTATAAATTAACTATTCCAGATTCTAAACAAATTTAATTAGATTTGTAAATAAATTTAATTTATCTGATCTGATTATTGAAAATTTCATCTAGTCCCTTAGGAAGTGCTACATGGTGAACCTAGGGATGGGAAATTGCATGAAAATTTCAAACTTCATGCGCATGATGTGCACTGCATCTGCCGATCTTTTTTATTTTTTAAAAAAAAATTTATTATTATTATTAAAAAAACCAAAACAGATTTAATTACTAATATTAGTCACTGATTCAGATGTATATACATCACTATCATCATTTTCACTTCACTAACATCATCTTCCTGTTCCTCATTATCATTACCAGTATCATAGTGTTTCCATTGACATTATCTTTTGATTTTTTTGATTTTTGTAATTATAATTAAAATAAATAAACACTAATTTGAAAACCATACCAGATGTTAGTCTATTTCTTTTTTTATCATGTATATATGAGAATGCAGGCCAATTTCTTTTGGGTGCTGCTGAAGATGTAGGATTGAAAGAATTTGTACAGCAAGATTAGTTAGTTCAGGGGCAACTAATAAAAAATTCCCTTTACACCATGTTACCAAATCTGCTTCATCTATAGTTGACCATGCTAAAGAATTGTCAAACAAGCCAGTATGTTGTTTATAATGTAGTAATTGTGACCAAAATTTTCTAAAAAAAAATTTAATTTTTTTTGTGTTACATTTATTACTATGTACAAAAAAAATTACATGAGCATGATTTCAAAAATTATGTGCGCACAATGCAGTGCGCATTGGAACATCTCTAATCATATGCTTTAAATTAAATCTTCTTTGTGATCAAAGTTACCATCATTTCTATTGTAGAATTTTTATATTCAAGCATTTACATACATTGTTTAACATTTTATTTTTATCTCATTTTGTATTTTATCATCCATCTATAAACATAAAAATGCTTATAATAATAAAAAAAACAAGAATTTTATCTTGGATAAACTTGTTATTAATATGTTTGTTAATGTATTATGAGATTATACCTGAGTCAAAAATGATAACATGTATATTTATAGATTATACATTCTAAATTATCTTTCATTATAATATATATACAGCCACTCCCTAGTGAATAATATTGCACACTTGCTTTGTAACAATTTCACATCTTACATATAATTTGTTATTGTGCAGATATGATCTGATGTGATTTATTTGTGATGGTTAGAGTAAGGTTGCGGGAGAAACTCCTCCAGAAATCAATCGACAGAGTTTCGGCAGGTTACACATTAATTGTTTATTAGAGTTTTGGCAGAGTTTCGCATTTGGGGTTTTCGCCAAT